AAAAAAAAAAGAAAAAAAGAAAATCAATCTATTGATGCATGACGAAGGCTACTGTTATGCTAACTTATGCTAACTGTTGGATACTTCGGTTACACTGATATAAACATTCATGCAATTAGAAATGTCATGCTTTAAAAAACAATTCACTAAAAAAAAAATTATATTTTAACGGAAATTCTTATGGTAATATATTTCAATAAAAATTCCAACCCATAAATATCATCAATTAGTTTTGGGATGAAATTTCATTAAGATGCACTTAGACTCACTTTGTTGTGTTGCGCTTCATCTGCGTGGGATCGCACCCTCTTGCCTCGATTCTCTAATTTTACATATTCCAATGGTACAGCTTGTGAAATTCCAGCTGAAATAATCCATTGGAATGTGTTTTTCATTGAAGTTTTAGATAGAATTTAATGATTCCAACGGCTATATTTCCAACGACTTTTTTACCGTTAGAAGTATAATTTTTGTTGGAATTTTTATTTTCACCCCGTTGGAATTTCTATGTTGGAATTGTCAAAATCCAACATAAATTCCAATAAAAAAAAACTCATTCCAACGGTATATTTTTGTTGAAATTTTCGTTGGAAACCATTGAAAAATTCCAACAAAAATAATAGCACTGAAATATTCATTGAAATTGCCGTTAGAATAATTATATTGGAATATATTTCCGCTACAATTTCATCATTCTTGTAGTGATTAACATAAATAAAAGTATGAAAATTTATTATAAAATTTCATTTTTGTTGAAAAAATATGATAGGTCGAGCTGATTAACAGTTTGGTCACCTCATACAATAATTTGTACTTGTTTTGAGCTCCAAAATGAGATCAAATTCTTTGCCAATATTAAAAAAATAAAATAAAATATCATACTAACAACACAAATATATGCATGACATTTGACAAATAAATTATGATGTCTTAAACAAACACTCACCTTCTTACGTTTGATTTACGTATATGCTTTTGTAATGATAATCATGTGCATTTATTTGTATCTTTGAAAAACTTAATAGCGGATTGAACAAGTTGATGATCATTTTTGTCAATGTCTTTACGCGTCATGAATTATTATTCTTTCTTTTATTTATAACAAAAGGGACATTATGAGCAACATGTTGCATGGAGGTGGTATTATTTCAAATTTAAGTCCCCGGTTTTGCTATGAAGCCCACAGTTGGCTCTACAGTGGAGCCAATTTTCTATATACAATAAGCATGGACGGATTTATTTAAGGCCTGGGCTGGGCTGAAGCCAAGGCTTATTTTTTTTTAACCATTATTAGTTATCAAATTTTTTTGATTTTGTACTTAGCCCAGCCCAAACTCAATAAATCAACCAATGAACTCACCGAAATGTTCTTATCTATTCAAGCCAAAACTCCATACACCATTCCAAGCAATCACTGTACCCCAAACTTGACAAACTTCATATTTCCAATAGAAAATAATAATCAGCTGCGTGTCAAATCTAAAAAAAAAAAGACTACTCAAGGTAAATTGTAATTTTAAACCACATATTAGATATTTGTTTCATTTGTCTAATTGTCTTTATTTATCATTTTATTTTAATTAGGCTATTTAGGGTTCTAATATAAATTTGCCATGATCATTTGCTTGCAATTTTATTTTTATTTTTTTGTCTTGATGGTGTATGAAGTAGTAATTGAGTTTTTTTTTTTTTTTTTTTTT